GTGTGTGTGTTTTTGTGCACGCACGCTTGCACACTAATGGAAGAAGACCTCAAGGGGAAGGATAGTAAAGGCTTATCGCCCTCCCAAACCACCTGACACTTCATGTTCATATTTAGTGTAGACTCAAGAAATATATCCAATAACACCTAAATCTGGAGTATTTTATTGTGTTTTTGTTATTGTTGTTCATTGCTAGTACCCAATATAAAACCTTTTGTGTTGCTGCTGCCTCTTTTATCAGCTCACCTTATAGATACTTAAGTACCAGTCTATGTCTCTGCATGATGTCATTCATTGATTTTTGCAGCTCGGCTGTGGTCACTAATCTTCCAGAGTGATGCCGTTGTCGATCCGGTCATCGGGATTAATGATCAAGTCTGTGTGACTGTGATGCATGCCCACTGATTGCAGCTTAATTTTCAGTGGGGCGGTAAAAAGCAGATACTTTAAATACTAAGATGATTCGGCTCATGTTTGAATACACAGTACAATATACCTACCATAGCTTCACACTGTCAGTTTGGTCCTTTTAATCTCTCCATTCCTTTTGTTCCCTTTGCATATTTTCCCTGCTTTCAAAGCCTTTAAACTTCAATGCCATAATGTCTGGTTATTTGATATTAGTCACTGTGACATTACGGCCTACCACTAATCCAAGAATCTCTTCCAAACAAAAGTTTGAGTGTAACGGTTTTCAGCTGTGTGGTTTCTCTTCTTCAGAAATGGCAGTCTTTCTGGTTTGTACAGATTCTGGCTTTACTGAAGAGCAGGTCTGATTAGGTGTGTGTTTTTGTGTTCTCTCTACAGGGCTGGCATTGATGATGTGGAGACAGATGTGGTGGAGATAGAGGCCAAGCTCGACAAGGTATGAACCATGCTGATATGTTATTTATGTAGACTGTGCTGGTCTTTAAAATATCCAATTTGAGCAATACACTGCAACTATATGTTGTTGTTAAATTGTGTTTATTCTATCATGTTTCTAATGAAAATCCCTCACAAACTAGTGTAATATGTAGACATTATATTGCACATTATATTGTTAGAACACTAAAAGAAGGACATCTTGGATTTGATTCACATTGTTTGAATGAAAAACGCCACCAGATGACATCTATAAACAGTGCTTTCTGTGAAAGCCCTCTGTAGCTCTGTCTGTCTGTCTCTTTCGCTCTCCGTTATCTAAATGTCAAGTCTATTTTAACCAGCAAACACTGCAAACACAAGTTATTATATTTAATAGGTTCATGCTAGATAACACACATACACACATACACACACACATAAACGTTGGTGCTGGTGCACATTGAACACTGATTAATGTCACAGAGGTAGTTTTATATTCTGTAGTATGAAAGTATCACACAGAGAGGTCCTCTGTTATCTGAGCATGTGATGTCTTTGTTTGACCTGCTTAACCAGATAAAGTGCTGCAACAACAGCTTATCATTAATTATTAGTGTTTGTAAGATCAGGCAATTAACCAGTTTAGGCTCATATAACACACACAACTGTGGAGACACCGTTTTGTTAAGGTTTCAGTTCCTCTGCAGGGTCCTGGATTAGTTTCACCCATCATACTGACCAAAATGACAGAGTCTTATTTGTAAATACACCTATTACATGTTCATATTTATGTAACAGAACGAAACAGTGGGTGGTAAAAGATTAAAGACATGATAAGGCTTAGCTGCACTCACCTAAAAATCTGAATAATAGTGAAATGAGTTCATTGCAACCTACACAATGGGAATGAGTTTCATAGTTGCATCATCGTCAACTATTACTCATAAGTATCGCTCCAAGTATGTAAGACCTGCAAGAATGAATGCCTAACTGTCTCCAGGGAGTCTGAGATGATGCCTCTACAGATAAACTAATAGACTTGTAAGTCAGAGACCATTTAGAGGATGAGGTAGCGTTAATGTAGTTAAGTGGTGACCGCACCTTCTTTCTTCTTCTATCTCCCTTTGATTCAGGTTTTACTCTGCTTGTGTTCGAAACCATCTGCTTCTTCACATCAATAATTTGTTCAAATTGAGGTCGCTTGGAAACAGACAGTCCATCTTGTGCATCCGGTAGATAATAAAAACAGATCAATGCCCTTTAGTAAAAAGATAAAGTGGTTATTTAAATTATTGTGATATTTTCTTGTTATTGCAGTTTATCTCCACTTTACCAATAGCTCCACATTGTCAAAAAAAACATCTCTTAAATTAGCGACCCAACAGGCAACCCTTTTCAAACATATGTCTATACCGATACTCACAACAAAAACACACACACACGCATAGATTATTTCTGCCCCCAACAGGTCAGGACCCTCTATTGAACTTTGAGCTCCATTTGAACACCACTGAAAGCTGACCAGGGTCGGGGGGTAGAAGATTCCATCATGTTAATTTGTTCTGTTCAGCAGGGGTCCTCACAGTGCTTTGTTAGGAACCTCTGAAGCTGCCTGAGGACCCTCTGACAGCAGTGAAGGCTCTTAGAGGAGAACATTTATGAGATTGATAACAGCTGAGCCTGCCTGCAGTAATGTTAACCATTTTGGTGTGCTGCTGATTGTAATGGTTTTATTCCCTGCTAGCTAGATATTGTTACTAATGTACTGGAATTAAGTTGTTTTTGCTTGTTAATCCACAAACTATTGCTATCAACCATTCATAATTTGCCCAAAATTTAAAATGCCCATCCCACACCTCATTGACCAACAGGACCGCTGTATTAACTGTAACTGTTTCGTGTCATTTAACACGGCAAGGCCTGCAATGTGGTACCAGATGTGGCATTTTGACTCCGAGCGGACCCCCTGTGGTTCTTCCAGCCCATTTATCAACCAATCCTGACACATATACTGTGCCTCTAATGGCAGTGCTCAGACCCTGGGGGTTCAGTACAGCACACGATGAGATCAGATTCCCCCATATCAGCTAATTTGTTGACAGATATGTTGTGTGGAACTGGCCTGGGAGCAGCAGTAGGGCACAAATCACGCTGCCTTGTCTTTTACATGGAATGAGTATATGATGCACATTAGATAACTACATATACGTATACACATACAGATTGTGCACACTGTACATCTTGTAAGTTAAACTCATACATTTTGAACCGGCAGCCCATTTCAGCAATGCTCACATTTACATTAAAACTCCTGTTCTCTGGTCATGTTGTCATAAACGGTGCAGTTATTGGTCCTCGCTCTGTAGTTTCTCATCTCCGGCCTGTGCAGATTAAAAGTCTTACTGTCAGCCACCCAGAAAACCACACTCACATAGCGACAACCTTGGGAACTCTTGCACCAAATGAGATAATTACAGGTTTATTGAACTCTCTCTTCAGCATAACTCCCCCCTACCTCACCCCACCCCTCACCAACACACACACTGATTCTGTAGTACACACTGCCAGCTGTGTCAGTGCAGTGGTAATGACAGTGTACCATTCTGTAGCTTATCATATAACTCGTGAAGTGGGAAAGTGTAGCGGTTGGCAGTTCATGTGGTGTTTAAAAGAGTACATACCATCGCTGTGAACTGTCTGCACCTGGTAACAGATATAATATATCCAGCTGGCTTACAGTAATAGAGGATTTTGCTGTCATGTGGCTGAAATCACGCTCTGTTTGCTACCTACTATAAAGTTTCACCAAGTCCACCACTTTGGTCCAGACTAAAATATCTCAACTATTAGATGGATTCATGGTCATGGTCCCCAGAGGATGCCACTGACTCCGATCCCTGCATTTGTGGTTTTAAATGACATTTCTCAACATCAATTAAATGGATTGCCTCAACATTTTCTACTTAATGCATGGTGCATGTACAACAAATCCTATTGAATTTGGCCACCATAAGGCTGACATTTCTGGTGAAATATCTCAAGAAATATGATGGATGGTCAAATTTGTTACGGGCATTCATGTGCTGTTGGTAATATATATATATATATATATATATATATGTATATATTTAATATGATATTAAGCTTAAAATAAACAATGAGTAAACATTAAGTTTGCTAAATGATTAAATGTATATTTTTTACCTTGTTTAAAGCTCAATTTAGCTTGTATAGGACTCTGTTTTACATTACGCTCTCTGCCTTAAGTATTCAGCAGTGGTGCATCTGAAAGCTTCTTCCTGCGGATTAGGCATATTTAACAGGGTTTTGAACATGATTTAAATGGTTATTGCTTGTTTCTTCTGTTTTAATATGTTTGCAGACGTAATACAAAGTGTATTTAATGTAAATTTAACCTTATGTTGATGAAAATCAACTAAGTAAATATATTGAGGGTTTTCTATATAGGAAATCCCTAAATTTCAGTCAATAGAGGATTATCTTATTAAACGAGTAAAGCAGAATTATTTCAGAAACATCAAAGTTCTTTATATATTAATATAAAGATTTAAATTTGCACATCTGTCAGAATTCTAAATTTGGATACCAGACACATTAGCTTCAATTATGCCAACACTGTCCTAGATACAGACATGAGGATTATTCTAAATTTGAGCATCCTCTTGGATTCTGCATGTGACCAAGAATTCTTTTTAAGCTGTGTTTGATTTACGTCATCACTGTAACTATTAATATCCTCGCATTGCATTGTGTAAAGCATGTGACTCTTTGAACAGACTGTGTTTTTAAAGTGATTATTTTTATGTTTCTCTCCCCCCTCCCCCTCACTAGCTGGTGAAACTTTGCAGTGGGATGATCGAGGCTGGCAGGGCCTATGTCAGCGCCAACAAGCTCTTTGTCAACGGCATCAAGGACCTGTCCCAGCAGTGCAAGAAAGAGGAAATGATTTCGGTGAGCAGAAGAAGCAACGTCTTTAAAACCAAGCTCAGATCTGTATATGCACTGAGGAATGCTTGAGGGGTTAGCTTCTCAACAAACGGCCGCTTATCTATCTTTGCTATAGGACATTCCTGTGATTCCCCACATGAATAATAACAGCATAGCAGTATAAACAGTATTGTCCAGACACAGAGTTATCCAGCTGTTTTAAACATGACAGATGTGACCGCATGCAGACAGGAGATGTTTACGCTGATAGTTTACATGGCTGTAATCAGAGAGATCTGAAACCTGCTTTATGGTTTTCTTTTAGGAAAACATTTGGACTGGATTTCCTGTCAGTACGGGTGTCGCCCTGGTAGCTTTGGGGCGAAGCAGTAGAGACATAATTGTTACACAGTCAATAACCATTCGAGGTTGAGCTGATTTTATACCAAGTACCAATCCAGATCATGCTTTGTGCACAGTGCGGTATACGGATTTAATGTAATTTATTGTGTGAAAAAGAAGTTTATGTTCATATGAAAACCTGTGTGCTTACATTGTGTGTGTGTGTGTGTGTGTGTGTGTTCAACATTGTAGGAATGCCTTGAAAAGTGTGGAGAAAGCCTCCAGGAGATCGTCAACTACCACATGGTAAGACACACATCAGCTTCAGCCACAGGCGAGAGGTTGCGTTTGAATGTTGTTCTGACACGCCCAGGTCTTCTTGGCATGTTAACGTCTTTCAGGCATCCAGTCCCTCCTGGGTCCAGTATTGCGCAAAACACACAATCTAACTGTGACTTCACTCTGTGACGGTGAATCTGTCCACACGGGCCGCTCCACATGCGTGTCTGATTCAAACCACATGCTTCTCCAGATGTGTATGGCAGCTTTAATGCACAACCGCTCACACACATACGACACACACACACATATACACCCTTTATTCATATGACTCTTTCCATCATGACGTAAGTATGATTAACAAATTTTCTTTTCTGGGAATCCTTTGAGAAGCCTAAAGGCAATTAAAAGAGATATAATCTGACAAGTCATTAACATTTACGGTTACATCTACAAGCGTCTTTTACCAAATTGTATTACAGTCATAATTACAGTCAATATGTGAGAGTGTGTGACGTTTTGTGGTGTTTGCAGGTCACAATTGTGAACATAAGGGAGAGAAGGAAAGTGAACTTGATAAAAGAGAGGGCTGGGGGAAAAGGAGAGGAGAAAAGAACAAGAAGAACGGAAGTGAAGTTTGGACAAATTGATTTATGATTTCAGCATTTTTTAGTGGCAGTTCTGCTTAAATTTTGAAGAAAAGCTTTTGAAGCTTTTCTGAAGACTTAGATGACCTTAGTACTCAGACTTGAAGCCGGTACTAGATAAGCTGGTTGGGATCCTTTTTATTTGTTTGTTTTCTTAGAACTGATTTTAAGTGTGTCACAAACACAGATCCACTCTCAATAGACATATGAACTAATGCCACCTCACGCTTGTTGTGTTGACAGATTTGACCAATGTGACTAAGACTTAAACTAAAGACATTTGCTGTATATTTTTATTTTAGTTTAGTTAGTTTTGTAAGTACACATTATTGTTTCAGTTAGTTTTTTCTAGGTTTTATTTTTATTTCAGTTAACCAAAATGTTTTTTAACACAGGTTTAGTTTTTAGTTTAGTTTTACGATAATAACCTTTGACTAAACAAATATACAGTACTACAGTGCTCTACAGCACAGATGAACTTGACTCAAGTGGTCAAAGGGCATTTAAACACTGGTCTCTGGGTAAAGACGTACCAGTTGGTAAGTCACAAGCACAACATTGAATAGAAAAAAAACAAATGTTGATCATCCCATATTCCTCACTAATCTGTCTTGTTCTTTTCGTCCATTCATGTCCCTTACTTCACTGACTCTGTTTCACTCAACCAAGGTCAAGCCTGTTTAACTTTAAATCCCTTTTTAAATCAAATCAAAGTGCTGAACACTAGATGGGATCCATCAGCTGTATCAATCCAGTGCAATCTCCTCTCTCTTTTCCTCTCATGGCTCTCTTCTTTCCATTATTATGTACTGACATGTTTGTAATATTAATGTTGTTAGCTTTCAGTCTTATCACATAACCCACCATCATTACAAATTTAGAGCAATACAGCTTTTGACAGCTAGACTACTCTCTACTTGTTTCTTTTCCTCTGCCACTCCACCGCCTCTCCATCCATCCTCCTTGTCCCCTCCTCTCCTGCCCCCACCCATACCCCTCACCACAGGCGTCCCGTTCCTCCACTCTAACACCCAGGAATTACACTAATAGCTTGTCTGGCAGACTGTATGAATGAAGGGATGGAGGGAGGGGAGGAAAAGACAGTGAAAGGAAATCTGTCTTTGTTCGACCACCCAGTGATGCCTAGTTCTGCACCTTCTCGGCTCTCAGCAGACACAAAAGAAGCCATTCAAACAGGAAGATGAGTCTCCCGGTTAATCACGCGATAAGCAAAAACACAATTCCTGCCCATAATCTTAACAGACTGAGAAAAATATCACGGCAATTGAACTGATTTTTGTGAGACTAAAGTGTCCTCAATTAACTCTATGCTGTGTCTGTGTGTTTACTGAAAAATCAACATCTCTGCAGTTCTCATGCAGACTAGATACAAGAGAAGTGATTGATGGGATTCTGCAGTAGCAAACACTGAGATCTTTGGAGACAAGGGTGCTGGGCAGTTGAGTGTGGATGTGCTGTAGGCTAAGTCATACCCAGGGCACCATAATGTAGAGCAGGTTTTTTTCTGTAATTTAATTATTTCCTACTTTCCTAAGGGGCAGATAGTGTATGTACAGTCCCTTGACACCTGTGGTATAGTTATATTCAGTATTGTTAAAGAGCAGTTGATCTCTGGTGGCCCTCTTCCATAACTGTGATCACATGAGAAAAGTGTAACACTTTCTTCAAAGTCTGCAGTACTGGATCTAGGGTCTTTCTAACCCCCCTGGAAGAATGCTGGCTTTTAAAGCCAATTCGACATAGTGGCTGAACCGAGTAATTACAGCAATGGCGTCTGTCACGTGATGCTCACTGGCCCAATGAGACTTTTTCCCATAAGATTACATTGTGAAAGAAGCGGCTGTAAATAATTCTTCACGAGCATCGGAATTTGATTCATTCAGTCCAGTAACATTTTGAAAGTCCAGAAGATCCACACAATTAAATCATTTATTCCCATTTAAGTTAACGGAGGGCCAAATCAGAAGTTAGCTGCTCAGCTGGTGGATGTTTCTAGTGAATCTTTACTAATGTAACCACAGGCTGGTTACATTTGAACTATATTGTAACCTTTGTCCTCTTATATTTAGAATATATTGCACGGCAAAGAATAGCTTTGTAGAAAGGTACTGCAGGAGGAGTTACACTGTCTGATGCCTGACTGACCACTTGAAGCTCCACCACACTTTTGCTGCCATTCAAAAGCCATTTATAATTTTTGCAGTCAAAGAGGAGTAGTAGGTGATTTATACACAATGAGTACAGATTACATTTGTGAAGATTTGTGAACTGGTATCTAAAGCAAGAAACCAGAGAACCAGTAAGTGAAGTCATCAGGCTCTAGGGGAATGTCATATGAATGAAGGCACACACACACACACTGTAATCCTCAATGTGTATGTTTATTGACTAGGGATTGCTATAGAAAGTTTAATCCACAGGCAGCCAACAGTGATTGTTGTATACAGTGTGTGTGTGTGTGTGTGGCTATGAAACAATCACAACCGAAATTTCTGTGTGTGTATGCGTTTTGCGTGGGTATTGAGACATTCACTGAGGTATTCTCACTGTCCATACATACATACACTTATATATTTCCTTAATAAATATGGATGGTCTGTTCAACAGCAGCCATTCTGTGCTCATTATATTTGGAGTGTGGGCAGAAATATAGAAATGGAAGAGAAATCCTTGTCTAGATGGAGAGATCTGCTCCCCATGCACAATAAATAGAGGGAACAAACTATAAAGAAGGAAGGGGAGGAGAGCTTAAGGACAGGAGAGTGAGATGAGGAAGAGGAGGAGTGGGAATCCACAGTTAACAGGAAGCAAATTCTGAGATCCTGTAAGGCAAAAAATCTGTTGAGGCAGCAGCCGAGTGAGTTCACATGTGTGTATGTCCTTATCTCTCTTTCCTTTCCCCTTCTCTGCCTGTGGCATAATCTGTTGCAGTCATAATATGGAAGGGTTCATATTGACATCTTGTGGCGAGATGTACGAACTACAGATTTAATCCAGTCATCGCAGTTATAACCAATCATTTATGTGATAATATTGGATGCTCATGTTCTATACCTCTGTCACCTTCTCTGTACACAGATTTTATTTGACCAGGCTCAGAGGTCGATCAAGCAGCAGCTTCACACATTCATAAAAGAGTGAGTATCTTATCACAATTAATTAGAAAGATGTAACACATCAGGTTTATGCACAATGAGTAAAGACTGCCACAGAGATGAAAATTGAAATTTTAGGGTAATAACTGTTTTCTACGACGGAGTATTAGGGCCAGACTAAGAAAACATTTATTTTGATTTTTTTGGAAATTACGAGAATTAAGTCATAATATTACGAGAATAAAGTCATAATGTTACGAGAATAAAGTTGTAATATTACGAGAATAAAGTCGTAATATTCTCGTATTATAACGACTTTATTCTCGTAACATTATAACTTTATTCTCATAATTTCCAGAAAAAGAAAAAAAATTTTTTTCTTAGTCTGGCCTTAATACTTCGTCGTAGTTTTGACAGACAGGTGACTCAAGCAATATATTAAAGGCTGTAAGATATAAAAGTCTAAACTGTAAATGTCTTTTTAGTCATATGTAAACTCCACATTTAGAAATGTTACATTTTTAGATATTCAGTCTGTTACTTGTACATTTTTTTAACCACATACAGTAATGTCCTAGTAAAAACACTAATGACACTAATCTCGCATTTCAAACTAAGAGACCTTCGTGTTCTTGTGATTTGGCATAGATGGACATGAGTTACACTCTTTTTCTCTGTTTTACTGCACCTCCTTCAGGGATGTGCGCAAGTTTAAGGACACCAAGAAGCAGTTTGACAGGGTGCGCGAGGACATGGAGCTGGCCCAGGTGAAGAATGCCCAGGCACCCAGGAACAAGGTGCATGAGGCCGAAGAGGCCACCCAGGCACTCGTCCTCAGCCGCAAAGCCTTCAGGCACTTGGCCCTAGACTATGTACTACAGGTGAAACACACACAGACAAACAAGATTATATTACCAGTGTTGTCCAACAGGTGGCGCTAACGCTCAACAGCTGCTGAGCTCATAAACATAAAACTCTCAATACTCCTTAATGCAGAAAAGGACACCACACTTTATAACTTGATGATGTTAACCTCAAACCTCTTTGTTTTTAACAGATTAATGTGCTTCAGGCTAAGAAGAAGTTTGAAATCCTGGATGCAGTGAGTAGCCGAGATATATTTCAACTAATTGAGATTTAAGTTTGTAATGTTAGCAATGTTATTGTATGTGTTTTGTATATGCGGGTCAGATGTGTATATGTGGAGTCCCTGTGGTGTGGGAAGGATTACTAACTTGTATTACAGCCATCATTGTCTCCCTGTGTCTCCTGCAGATGCTGTCCTTCATGCGTGCTCAGTACACTCTGTTCCAACAAGGCTTCCACATCCTGGACGAGATTGATCCCTATATGAAAAAACTGGCTGCACAGGTGAGATAAAACTAGTACACCAAAAATCACACAGAGGAAATACATGTGCACACATGTACTTACTCATTAACTGTACTACTACTTCTGTTACTGTATTTACTCAGCCTTTCAACATTTCACTGTCTATTAACTTAACAGGATGTTGGTGATTTTTATTAGCTTTAATTAATTGTAATAAAATGACAACAGACAACAGAAACTGTGACTTTATATTGAAGTTATATTCTAGATTTGGGCATTTTATAGAGTTTACTCATAGAAAAATACAAGCCACTATCAAGGCAAATAACTTGTCCATAAAATATAAAGTTCTTTACCAATATCTTTATATTTCCCTTTAATATATGGTTATATATTAACCCTAATATTGCCTCTGAGGTGTGGCAAAATGATTGATTAGCACTTTAAACACATATGAGTGTGTACATCTGTGTGTGCATAGTTTTCTGTCTGTCTGTGTCTATTTACCTGTCTCACTGACTCTGCTGTGGCTTTGCTCTGTGCAGCTGGATCAGCTGGTCATTGACTCGGCCATGGAGAAGAGGGAGCTGGAGCACAAACACGCCCTCATCCAGCAGAGAGTGAGGCAGCAACACAGCTCTTAACACGTTTCTCTCCTCCTCCACTTTCATCCTCTGTCACCTACATGCAGGGGTTATAGAATTGAATCACTTCCCGGGACTTTTCATATGTTCTTAAATTAGATCAAAACTCTAATGTAATGGAAACTAAAAGGGAAGAAGTTAAAAATTATGGCTTTCTATGTTTGTCAGGGAAAAAAGAGGTTTCCTAAAAATGCAACTGAACTAGATTTTCCTCACAACACAAAAGACAGTCAACATTTTTCACCATCATTTAGCATGACAGTGTCATCCTAATTCAGAGGAGGAATCTTACTAAAAAATATATGGGCAATCTATTTATCTATGTCTGTCTGGAATCTAAACTGGATCTTGTCAACACATACCATCATGCCAAGATGTGTGGCTTTCCACAGAATCATTTTTACATTAGCTTCCGTCATTCCTCACTCGCAATCAAGCTTCTAAAATAAGCTTATTGGGTGTTGAATGTAGCTCTTTTCTCTTCAAGCTCAAAGTAAGAGTTTAAAGTAGGAAAGCAGTTCCCACAAAGACTGTTTGACATATTTATTTTATGGGTCACTCAGCTGAATAAAACCTCTCACTCTGCTCAACAGCCACGCTCATGCACAGATGTGTGAAGTTCATCCATCTGTTACCTGAAGAGATGCCAAAAACATGCCTGTTTTTTCTTGTTCTCTGACTTGGCTCTTTCGTCAGATTTATTTAGTTGCCAACTGCAGGCATCTTTCCAGACACGGCACACAGCTTTGTGCCCGACCTAATGGCCTTTCACCAACCCTTCCTCTTTAATCTGAAAGCCTAGCACTGAGTGATGCTACTGGACTTTATCATTGATATGATTAATCCTAACCTTGTGTCTAATGTTCTCTAGCTAAAGAGTGAGAAGGACTTTCTAATGAGATATTAAACAGATATTTCCTGGAGCCCTTGTGTGTTTCAGGAGCAATCTGAACTAGCAAGCTAATTGCTACTTATGTGAAAAGACCTTCTGGACACTGTTATTGTCTTGGACACGATGTCTCACATTAACATATTTGGCTTCATGTAGTGAAATTCAATTAGTGTTGATCTTGTATTAACACTTGTATCCCTCTTTCTCTCTCTCCATATCTGCTCCTTGCCTTACCATGTTCTTCCTCCAGACTCTGATGCAGGTGAGTTTATATTTTTCACTTTTTACTATTTTGCAGTGCAAAAAATCCAGATGGGACAATCTTTTTAAACATTTCAGTTGTTTGAAATGGTGAGTGGAGTGTTGGACTGTCTAATGTTCCCAGACACACAAAGCAGGGTTTTAGGACTTCTGGCCCCGCTGTTGTTTACCTGGCCTGCATTGGCAGTAATGTTGGATTTCTTCTAAGAGGATTAGATCTAATGCTGTCCTTGAAATTCTCTGAGCTCTGTTGTCAACCTAGATCACAATATCTGTAACAGCACGTAAAAAGCCTTAAATTTTACACCCATGTGACATTTGACACGTGTAAATATGCACATTTTCTGGTCTGAACGCTCCTGTGTTTACATCAAACTCCAGCTTTACTTGTACATATAAAATATGGACCAGCAGATGCGTGTATGTGTGGTGTAGTGTAGTTGTTTAGCAATGTAGAACAGATTGAGTGATGTATAGTGAGCAGTTTTATGGTCATCACATGCAGCTCTCTGTGGCAGTAATCAATAGGCTGTGTGTTTGTGTGTGTGTATGGAGTGATCCCCTCAACGTTTAAAGCGCGAACGTGGGAGGAATGTGTGTCAGTGGTTGTCTGGAAGCATCACAGGACGCAGCACACAAAACATTATCCGATAATGCTGCTTACAGGCATTGTGGGTCTACATGCTTCCACTAAACTTCTGTGTGTCTATGTTTGTGCCTGTGTGGGTGGACTAGCAGTAGCTTGTTTGTGCTGTGCACAGCTGACTTGTGATACTCATCTAAGGTACTTTCATACAAACCCTGCAAGCTTATTGTTGTCTCTCCTTTGATGTTGTCTTTTGGTCTCTTTTGTTCTAGTTATCTCTGCTCTTCCTTTATTTTTCTCATGGTCTCTCACGCTCTTTTTCTTCCTCATAAATGCACATACAAACATACAAACACACACACACAGCTCATGTCTCGCTTTGGAGAATTACAGTTCTCCCTAATATCTTCCTGCTATTTTCCAATTTGTTTCATCCGAAAAATGTGACCCAGAGGATTTGTCAGTATGTCAGAAAGCCAGTTAGAAACATATCGTAGGAGCTTAAAAATAGTTTCCTCGCTGTGTGTCTTGTTTTGTGTTCAAGCAATATTTTCCATTAATAAGTCCATTCATTCCATTAATAAATTGAAAAGTTGAATTGATTATAGATTTTCTTTTGATTTTTAATTGCAGGAGTTCTTCTGAATGATGACATTTTACTTTCCTTTTGCTCTGAATTTTAAAATCCCCCTCTGTCTACCCATGGTGTTTCATTCCATCCATCTCATTTAAAGCTGATCAGCTAATCAATATTTCACACCTATATCTGGCATGCCATGTGTGTTATGCATTGTGCAACATACAGTATGACACTTTTTTTCTACTGACAAAGTGCTGTCTCTGACAAAGCTTGTAGAGGGCAGTATACAGTAAAGAATAATCTATATTAATGTCACAAACCGGGCCATACG